ATTCACCTCTGTGGTATGTAGATTATTTTGAGAGAAGGGCAGTAGCTAGAAGAAGGCTTCTTGGAATTTTATCTTACTGAATTTAGATACTTTGAGAAATGTAGACTGCCCATAATTCTGGTTTCTAGGAGAATTTTATGGTCATTGTGATTATTAGTGATAGTTGTCAACTTGACCGAATCTAGGATCACCTGGGAGATGGGCCTGTGCAGAGAGCTATCTTAACTGTGTTCATTGAAATGTGAAAGGTACCCACTATAGACACCATCATGCCATGGGGATCCTGCAGTGTGTGTGTGTGTGTGTGTGTGTGTGTGTAGAAAAGGAGTTGTGCTCAGTATGCATTAGTAGATCTTTTCCTCTGTCTGCACAAGTGTGTGACCAGCTGCTTCAAGCTCCTGATGCCTTGACTACCCTGCCAGGATGAGCTGCACCTTGAACTGTGACTAAAATAAACCATTTCTCCATAAGTCGTTTGGATCAGATATTTTGTCATAGAAACCTGAAAAGCAACAGAGACTGTTGCGAAGAAGTTGGACAGTTGGTGCTCGGATGATGACAAAGCTGTGCCAGGTTGTTTCCCATACATTCGCCGCCGTCTCACAGTTTGTTTCCTTGATATTAGAGGCTTCCCTGTTGTCGATTTTCTAAAGGGTGTTGTTCTCTGATTAGATTTGCCTCTGATGAGATGCTGTGTCTCAGCCCCGTTCTAACTCCCCCAAGCCCTCCCCATTTACTCTCCACGTGTGTGTCACGTGTGTGCCATGTGTGTGCCACATGTGCTAACTGAGCTCTGTTTTGCTCTTGCTAATTTGTCTCCAAACCATATTTTCACAGGATTTCTACAGAAACCAGAAGGCTACAAATTTGTGTGGTCTCAAGCCATTAAACTTAAGTATATGAGGAAGAAAATAAATACATTTTATTTTTGTGGTTAATAGAATGCACATTCTTCACTGGTTTCAAATGTTTAGTGATTTTTTTTTTAATTTTAAATCTCTGCTCAACATGTAGCTAAAAGGTACAATTCTTCATTTTGTAATTAAATTTTTGAAGTGCTTCTGGATAATGTGATGCTTTTCCGTATGTATATATAGTGGATCATCTCTCTAATAAATATACCACACTCAACATAAAAGCTGGCTAATTAAAAATTATTACATTTATTTATTTATTTATTTATTTATTTATTTATTTATTTATTTATCTCTGTGTGTGTGTGTGTGTGTGTGTGTGTGTGTGTGTGTGTGTGTGTGTGCATATGCCACAGCAGGCTTATGGTAGTCAGAGGACAACTTGCAAAAGCCTGCTCTTCCTACCATGTGAGTCCCTGAGATTGAACTCAGGAAGCCAGCTTTGGTGACAAGAACCTTTGCCTGTGTAGTAGCCACCCAACTAGCAGCAAATAATTTCTAAATGTCAAAAGTAAGAGTACAGTTAAAAATAGAATACATATGATCTAAGAAAACATGAAAACAACCATTCATATACTCACTTGACTCAAGAAATAAAAAATCACTGAGTATAGAAATCACTTTGAAATTAAATAAAACACTAAATATCTTCATTAGTAATAATGATAAATGAATGATATCAGACAACAAATGAAATTTATGTGACTTGTTTAAAACAATGGTAAACCAAAGAGTATTAACATTATAAAACCCTAACAAATACATTCAAATTAGAAGACCATGTTGATTTTAAACCCAGACAGTAAGTTGAAAGCATAAAAGCATAAACTAGGATTAAACTGTCCATCTCATATTTTTAAAGTATATATTTACACAAAAGATGTAATGGTTAAAAATCATACTTTAAAATTTGCAATTTTATAAAATTAAAGTTTTAATTAAAATGAAGAGGATTACAGACTAAAATTTTATAAATTTTTTATTGGACTGTATTTAGAAAATTCTAAGGAAGGATAAAATACAAAAAACCCCTGAATATATGAAAAAACTTTGGAATATTTATAAAAATGATGCATTTGCTCTAAGTAATACAATTTATTTAAGTATGTTATGTATATTGAAATACATGCTAGAAATTTAAAACATTATCTTCTATACTAATGGCCACTAAATTACACATTAATAAACTTCCAGTGAGAAACATTAATAGGTCATATTCTACAAGTAAACTGCATCAGTTAATATTAAAAATGTACAGCAATAAGTTAACCTTAAAACTAATCATTTAAAAACATTAAAACTACTTACTTAGTATTAAATACCTCAAAATAGAAATCACTACTGTACTACCTTCTTATTTATAAAACAATAGCCATTTAGTAGCACAGCTTAGATTCAACTAGAAAGTGATGGTTTACTTACATGGTTTTCACGCCACTACTGCACAAAAGAGAATGTCTTTCCAGGTCAGTCATTATTTTTGTTCATGGGGTTCACAGCTTGGTAAGATTAATGATTACTTTTCTCTTCCAGTAGCATGAACAGTACCTCCTACCACTAGAGAATCTAGCCAATAAGGTTGAAATTTCCAGTACCTGTTTGGTATCTTAAAGTGCTATGATTATAATAGCTTTAGCAATAAGATCTTATTATCCAATTCAAGGTGGTAACCAAAAGCCTTGGCCACATCCTCAAATGTTTGATGATCAATTGGCCCTTACTGAATATAAGTATAATACTCATAACTGCCACTGGGTTGTTATTTGTGAGCCTGTAGTGTCTAGTAAGGACGCTGTCATCTTATTATAGAGTAACTCCATAATAACACATTCTATCTATTATCCATCCATGTATATCATCTACTCATCCTTCCATCCATCCATCCATCATCTATTTTTGAAAGGTTTTTAGAGTTATTTATCCCTCTTCCAACCCCCCCTCCTATACCTGATGCCAATTTAACCTTCTTCTTCCATGAACCCCTTTAGGAATTTATGCTGCTGCATTCTATCTCCCTTACCCTGAAGGTCCCTTCATGGCCACTTACTAGTTTTGTGGCCTCTATGAATATATCAAATTAAACATACATATTTGAAGACTCAAAGCTAATATTTATAAATGAGAGAAAACATGTAATTTTTGCTTTTCTGGGTCTGGATTACCTCACTCAGGCCAAGAACCTGTTACAAAGGTTCATACAAAGGTCATACCCTATATGAGAGAGAGAACCTATAACTATGATTCTAGACATAATATTTAACTGAATCCTGATAACTTACTGCTAAACCTACAGACTAATGCTTCTTTCACCTCTCATCAGAGAAGCTTCTATCAGCAGTAGATGGTGGTAAACTCAGAGAAACACAACTGGCCAAGGTGCAGAGAATAAGAGTCTGGAATGATCAACCTTAATTGGAGCATCTGTGTCACATCTTCTTTCCCAAAGTTCAGGGATTATTTCAGAATAGGGGACAGAAAGACCATAAGAGCCAGAAGAGGTAGAAGTCTACAAGGAAACAATATTCTGAGACAACAGTATGGCTGCTCATATAAACTCCTAGCAGTTGTAACAGTGTAGATGGAAGATTTCCTGTGTCCTGGCCTGCCAGCAGTCAGAACAAATCTCTCCCATTCTCCCACTGGCATCCCCCAAGCAAACACACAGAGGCTTATATTAACTATAACCGCATGGCCGTGGCTCAAGCCTTTTGCTAGCTAGCTCTGTATCTTAAATTAGCTCATAACTATTCATCTATGTATCACCACATGTTCCGTGTCTTTATCTGTGTCCCCTTATACGTTGCTCCTTGGGCAGCTTGCTGGCTTTGGCCCCACCCACCCATCCCCTCCTTCCTGTCTCTTCCCTTGAATTTCGGGCCTGCCTCTAAGCTACCTTGCCATAGGTCAAACAGCTTTATTTATCAACCAAGTAGAGCAACACAGATTTGCAGTGTACAGAAAGACATTCCCTCATCATAACAGCATTCACAGCAGCTACACAGGGTCAAGCCACACAAAAATCCTAGCATGGAGAGAGGAGGTGGGCATAACATTCAAACCTCACCTGAGGAGACATTGGCAACTGATAGCTGCTTGGAGAGAGAGTGTGAGTTTTCTCTAAGAGCATTGCTGCTGGCAGGTCAACCACACTCCACTGGAACGCTACACAACCAAAAATATTTGATAGCATGAACTGGTCTTGATGGTAGGCGAAAGGGGACACAAAGGTGGTTGTATAGAGGGGAGGAGAAGTTGGGGAAGGGCTAACAAATATGATTAAAAGAAAACATTGCTAAGGACCACATAATAAACAAAAAGTCTTTGCTAGGGAAATGTTAAAAAGCAATTAAAATATAACTAAATACAAAAAGGTGAAAGCCATTCTAAACTTGTCATGAAAAATCTCTTGACCCTTTACAAAAGACAAATTTGTTCTCATATTACCATGACTCACAGTACAAGATAAACTAATAAGTGGATGGTTTCTATCCACAATTAGATGTAGACAGTCCTCATATTAATGTGTACCATATTCCATCCATAAGAAATATTTTTTGTTTAAAGCTTCATCTACCATGAAAACTTGGAACTATTACCAAGGTAATTGTGACTCAAAGAGTAGGGTAGGACATTTTGATGCACAATAATAAGAGAAATGAGGTGGAGTGGACAAGAGAGATTAGGGGTTTTCCCTTCTACAAACACTTCACATCATTTTATCCTACTCTTTGTGTAGGTCACTAATATGAGCAGATCATCTTATCTTCTGTGTCCAAAGTATAAAGGCATACTCTGAAAATACCTTTCCCTTTCACCCAATGCCCTAGGTTTGATGTTTGTAGAAACTCACTCAACATCATGCATTAGTACATTAGAAATGCAGGTCTCAGTGTGAAGGAGTCTATCCAGGGCAAGAGATGAAGGAGGCATATAGATCATTTCTTTCCATATCAGTGCAAGTTTGCACACCACTTGTTTACAGTGGGGGCCAAATGAGTGATGGGTTTGGGAAAGGGTTTTTATTCATTACATGTCTCAGTTCTCTTGCCCTTCCCTAGGCTCTGCATAATGTTCCCAATAATTTACCTGCACCAGTGATTTTGCTGTGGGCAAATTTCTGAGAAATCCTGATCTATGGAGTAAGATGGAGATGAGGATCTCCTGAAAGAGAAAGAAGACATGTTAGGTTTAGAATCGAGCTTTCTCAAAATCATAGAATAGTAGAGATTTAAGAGGCTAAAGTTACCTTATTTAATTTTATACCCTTGTCAATAGGATGAGGAGGTTGTACATAGAAAATAAAAGTGTTCTTCTCTTGCTTTTCATTTTTTTCTGTTTTTTGGTAACAAGACTAATTTGAAAACCTCTTTTTACGTCTATATATTGTTTCTTTGAGAAAATGTCCCCATTCCTATTAATGCCTTCCTAAATTTTAGGTTTTGAATTAAAGGTTTTAGAAAAGTCAGGGAAGCAGACAGAATCTTTGCATAAAATTCCTTTGATATTTTTTCAATAATTTTAAAACTTATCATCCATCAAGAAAAAAAATCTGTTAAAACCAACAATTTTAGAAAAATTAACACTTCAGAATATATGATACCTCCTTTTTTAAAGTGACAGCTTAGTTTAAATTTAAATTTTAGAGCAAATTTTCTAAATCTATGTCCATAAAAGCTGATGGGATCTTGAGTGGAGACTTCCTGTGGAAAAAGATTTAAATTATCCAATTTGTGGGAGAAAAGAAAAAGCAAAAATCAAAAGGAAAGTGTAGTTAGACTTTCTGATGAAATAGTTAAGGTCTGTGTTTGTTAGTATTGTTTAGGGTTCTTTATTGCTATTCATACACCATTTTATAAATTTATGGCTTACAAATGTGTGTACATTCTAATATTTACAAATACACATATCTAATTAGAAGCATACACATATTGTGTGGTGTGCCTGAGTGTTCTACTGCTATGGATAACTAAAATCAGTTTTCCCCTTGCTAACTGCTCTGTGTTTTCAGCCTCGCTAAAAAGTAACAGAGATGTACATGGGTTACCCATCCCATGGAGAGTAATCTGCTCAGAGCTGAGGGCCTCTAGATCTCTGAGACTGATGTGGATCTGTGAAATTTTCGAATATCAATCCTAAAACAGGAGACTCAGTATTTTGAGCAAGAAAAGTAAGCCTAAGCTGGAGACAAATTCAGATGGTCAGAAACTGGCATTCTTTGATCTTAAATGCATTTCAGCTACCTAATCCATTCCTGTTTTCCTCAAATATAAAGAAATACTGTAATGCTCAAGTATAAAATTTTAAACATCAGTCTGGTAAAAGGAAAAAAGAATGTAAGAATTTTAATTACAATCTATGCTCATTTTTGCCTCGAGTCAAGAGAATTAGCTATGAGCACCAGCTAATTGTCAGTAGGCTATGTATATCTTCTGTGGAGTACTGGTGGGTACAGGCATCTAACACATTTCACAGTTGAAAGTCTATGCTACTTTCCTCTGGGTCAGGGGAAAAGAAACTAATGGCTCAGATTTCATTCTTGTTCCACAAGAGAAAATAATGTCCAAGAACCAAATTGTTCCTCAAAAACAATCAGTTCTTCATCTGCTCCATTGCGTCAGGGGTTTTCCTCTATTGCGAAGCTAAAGAGGCATAACATATGAAACACGCCTTCCGGTAGAGGGACTGGGACATTCCCGTGCAGTCCGCAGCATCTGCGAGGGCGTGCACAACCGTTTTCCACTGCGTTGCTAGAAAGCATTCAGTGCATGAGCAGACTCTGGTGACATTCCCGAATTTTGCTGCAATCTGCCATTTCCCATCGTTCGTCTTACTTTACTCTTTTACATTTGTAGATCACAAACTTACCCAGACTGACAGTTGACGAGACTGATTTTGATCAATAAGATCAAATCATTCAAATTTAAATTAGAATATGATGGACCCTGATGACCTTGTTTGGTGATTTCTCTTATCCCACCAGCCCAGATGTTACCAAATTTCTACTCTGTAGCAGTGATACACATTTAGAAGTGCTATTTTAATGGTCAGTCCCAAGAGAGGTAATCTCGCTCTTGTTATGCAAATGTTAGAGGTACACAACCGCCTTTACTCACAAAATCCAGTTAGGGCTGGGAGACAGGGATCGGTAGAGAATTAGATGACATTTTGGAGGGTTTGCTAAGTCACACATGCCTTTATATTGCAAGAAAACAGGAGTACATGGACAAGATAAAAAATATAATCATCTCCATTTTCTCTTTAGCCTCAGGAATTGGAGCTAGAATAGCCAGCAGATTATTGTGGCATCTGGAGTTACTGAGAAGCAGCTCTCTGTAGGGTACAGAGTGTGACTAAGTCCAACATTTCACAAGAAATCCTGGTAGAGTGTTCAGTTGCAGACTTGTTGAGAGAAAGCAAGGCTGTCTGGAAGCCCCACCTCTCTGTGGTAGTCTGCTTGGCATGGCAGCCAACCACCAGAATGGCTCTGAGACCAGACCCACGAGCTTCCTCCCCTGGCAGCCTGGCTATGAGACATCCACAGTGTGCAGCTCAGCAAATCTTGGTTGCCAGCATCTTAGATCATGAAAATTTAGACTCTGTTTTCAGAAATCTCCCTGGAGCAAGCAATGATTAGTCCATAGGAGATCTTTGTCATTTCCCTTTTCTATGTGGCATGTAAAGAAGATATGTTCTCCACCAGGGTTGTTGCTAGTAGAGCACTCAGAAGTGGAGAAAGAAAGCATGACAGAGCGCTGCAGTGATACTTTCTAACTATATTTTATTGAGAAAAATAATGGCATACTGTGATCAACATATATTCAGGTAAACTTTATTTAGTTAATTTTTTTTAAAATTAACTTTTATGTAGAAACAGAAGCGGAAACAAAGTGATTTTTAGAGTTCTCTCATAAATACATAATTGTATATTTACATTCTTGATCACCAGGTGTACATCTGTCTGTATGCTCGTGTGTAGGTGTGAGACCTAAGTTTCAAAAGAACAGACTAGAGTCCATCTATCCTTTACACACCCTTCCATATGAAGAAAATCCTTGCTGGAGCCTTTAGACAGAACTCACAATAATGACCTGCAGCTCAGTGCGCTGGAGTTTGGAGATTCTGGGTTTCAGTGTGTTTATTGTTTCCTTCTTCCTACCTTTCTCCTTCCTCAGCCAGTCTAATATTGATTTCTCAACACTATGCTAACTAGGAGGGTCATTGCTGACAGGACTTGGAATTCCAAAATCTTTTGCAGGTCTTTGGACTGTTAAACAGGCGAAAGCTTCTGTGCACTGCCCTGGAAGGTGTCTGAGTCACCAGCTAATTTAAGACACACCGGTGCGAGGCCTCAGAAATAGACATTATTTAGCAAATTCCACTCAGGTAAAAGGCGTTTAGAAAATTGACCTACGTGGTTATAGGTACAGTCCACTTCTGTTTGGTGTTCAGCGAGGCCTTTTTCTTAGTGTTGGGTTGCTGTTTCTCTTTGTGTAGTATTTCAGTCACGACCTCATCTTGCCTTTTTTTAAAAACCTGTCTCTGTGTTTTGTTGGTTAAGTACTCCTATGATATCCTATGATATTCAAGTTCCTATTGCACCAGTGGATATGTTTTGCCAGGATGTCATAATTGAAACTTGCAGCTTGTTAAGATTAAACTTAGTGATACAAGAAAGGATTTTCTGAAGAGAATCATTGTACCACTAAGTTCAATTATATTATATTACCTAGTAATATAGAAGATTCATAAGAAGATTTCAAGCAGTCAGTCTACAATGGGTGACAGTGCCCATATGAGATACTACAGAATAATAAAAAGGTTGATACCAGGAATGGGCTACTTCCTTAAAAGTTGTTGGCCAGTGTGGCCCCAAAGACCCTCAAATATTGCAGGATGTTACAAATGCTCTTGTTTATCCTGCAGAACTCTATGTTCAGATCCTATTGCTGTACGAGAGCCTTAAAACATGGCAACATTAAACAAGTCCTGACTGGGAAATTTCCATCATCCTGGTAAATCTCATAGTGCTAGTAGGTGCTATGCATGTGACCAGAGAAGTGGTGCCTTACAGTACCATTTGCTGGTTTCTTATCATATGGGTTGTCTTTGGTTCATGTGTGAAGAGTGAACAGCAGCCCTGATAGGTAGAGCATTTTCTCAACCATCAGCAGCCCAGCAAGCATGATTAAATGTCTTTGTTTCTTTAGGAGTGGAGGTGAGGTACTTGCTTCCCAACAGCTGACGAACTTGAGACTGTCCTCTCTAACCGCACCCCAGAGCAGCTCCATGAGGAAAAGTGCAGCAGTGAAGGATGCTTTGGGTGGTGTACGGCTTATTCCTCCCCATTTTTCAGGACATGTTACTTGAAGCTTCTCAATTTTGTCAAAATTTATTCTCAAACAAAATTCTCCTTGAGATCTTGATAAATCTTAGGGCAAAGTACTATATGTCACCTCTCAAAGGATGATTTGTGTGTGAACTAGATATTATAGAATGAAGTCGTCCGCCCCTTTTAAGGAACTCCATGCATCATTGGGTAGGTAAAGGAGAGAGACTCAGAGAGAGAGAAACAAAATGTCTACTCAGCATTACTACACTAACTGCCTTTAAATCCGGTGCATTTTCCTTCTCTGTCTTTTGCTTCCTGCATACCTCTCCAGTGTGCATTAAGTAGCATAGGAACCATCATTTTCATGATTCTCATTTAATTTTGATTAGTAAAAGAGTGTGCTTTAAGAGAAAGATTATTGTGCAAGGGATTCACAACAAATTAGCAAATTCATATTAGGTGGAGGATAAAATTCTGAACCCATATCCAGTCTCTTTTCTTTTTATATATATTGATATGTTTGAATAATTTTTTGCTGATTTTACTGTTCTAGGTTCAGATTCAAATAAAAGTATGATAGAAATTAAGTGAGAAAGCTTTAATACTTAAAATTACTCTTAGAGATTCCAAGGGAGAAACAGATCTGTATCAGTGTGTGAACTTTTTTCTTTTTTTTTTTTTTTTAAATTTCTGTTTCTGAAGAGACACTTCATTCATCATCTGGTGACATCCCTTGCATTGAACAGCTGAGGCTCTTGTCTTTGAGTACTCACTGATTCCTCATAATTGCTGTGTGGTAAAGCACGGAACATTTCACGTCACCAAGGCATTTTCCCTATGGACTAACATTTCTTTTCGAGAAATGTCCATCATTGTCTTGGTGACTTGTTTTCACATTTACTAGTGTTTCCACTTTTATTTCTTTCTTAATACACTGTCACAAAATTATTTTCTTGAGTAATACAGATATCTGTGGAAATGCATTTGCTAGCATAGAAGACTTATGGGCACATAGAGGAGATCAAAAGAGCCTGATGTTGAAACCTTTCAGTGTTTGACTTGGCTTTTACATTTATTACTTTTTAATAATTTATATGTGTACTTAAAAATGAATGATCATAAACACGTAATGATTAAACTCTTATAATTGAAATTTTATGATATTGCTCCATTAAGTGAAAGGTTAATGTAAAAGACTTGTTGACTTCCATTAGCAAGTAAATCAACTGGTTTGCAAGTGACCTGTCTTCATTTTTTTCTGGAAGTATCAGTGTCCCCTTCCTTCCTTCCTTCCTTCCTTCCTTCCTTCCTTCCTTCCTTCCTTCCTTCCTTCCTATGTCAGGTGCTGCTCTTGAGGGAGGGAAATGAAGATGAGGCAAGGAAATGCCCTTTGCTGCCACTGACTAGTGGGAAAGACAAGATTAGTTGTAGCTAGAGTTTTCCTGCTTTGCCCACAGTCAGGACAAATCTTTGTCACCCGCCAGTCCCACAGCCGCTCAGACCCAACCAAATAAACACAGAGACTTATATTGCTTACAAACTGTATGGCCGTGGCAGGCTTCTTGCTAACTGTTCTTATAGCTTAAATTAACCATTTCCATAAATCTATACCTTGCCACGTGGCTGGTGGCTTGCCGGCGTCTTCACATGCTGCTGGTCATGGCGGCGGCTGCAGTGTCTCTCCGCCTCAGCCTTCCGCTTCCCAGAATTCTCCTCTCTCCTTGTCCCACCTACTTCCTGCCTGGCCACTGGCCAACCAGTGTTTTATTTATTGACCAATCAGAGCATATAGACCATCCCACAGCAATTAGTGAAAAGAAAAGGCAAATGAATTCACGATTACTCAAGAAGGAAAGGAAAACAAAAACCAAAAACAAACAGAAATCTTCCCAGAGCAGCTATTGCAATTGACCTGCTTTTAAATGAGAATTTGGAGACAGAAGTTTCCAGAGAAATCTATCCCTGAGCTAAGATCAGAAAAGTCAGAGAGGATTATAATGAAGCAGGATTAAGAAGAACTTTATAAATAGAAGAGAGTGATCGAACACCTGGCCTTTCATGCAAAAGGAGAATCTAGAACTATTCTAAGAAGAATGCCCCAGAAGAGCTCGGAGGGGCTCCAGGGCACCATTGTTGCTGCCGAGACAGGGAGAAGGGCTCAGGCAGGTGGATGTTTTAGGTGGTGTTGAAGACATTACTCTTTACGTTAAGAACAGAAGAAGTTTAATAGCATGGTTAGGAGCGTTGAAGTAATGTGATTGGCCCAGTTTACATTTTTAAAATGATCTCCCTTTTGCTCATGGTACAGTTTGGGCTTGGTTAAGATATATTTTTCACAAATGTTCAATTTTAAAGTTTCGATTAAAGAGACAAATTAGTAATATATTTGATAATGGTATTAAGGTCCCCTTTTTGCTCTTCTCCTTTTCTCAAATTGTAATTGATTCAAACAAATTTGGTCAAATTAATTTTAGTAAAAAAAGTATTTAGGAAAAGCATTTTCTAAACTTCTTATATAAGGATGTAAAGAAAATTGAATTCTCATACCCAGTGTGAAGAACGAGTAATAAATAATAACCAGCAGGTATACAGATTTATAAATGAGAAACAAATTTATTCAGACAATAAATGTAAAGTTGTACTGAGAAGATATGATGCATTTACCTAATTATTCTTTAACAATAAAAACTTGGGTGTCAGATATGGGATGAGAATATGAAAGATCAGAGAAGCAGAGGAGAAGCAACCAGTGACCTCCCCTCTATCTCTGTCTCTCTCTCTGTCTGTCTCTCCCTCTCTCTTGCCCCCTCCCTCTCTCATTCTCTTGTTCTGTTCCTTCATCCAAAAAGGGCCAAGATCTTCTCTCAGGCCTGCCCTACTATTTCCTGTGTCTATCTGTTCTCAGTCCTCCAAAACTTCTATGGTTAATTTTGGTCAGCTAGTAGCTAGCTCCACCCTCTGATTCAGAACAAACTATTGACAGTCTCAAGAGCATCAGAATGCAATCAAAATATCACACAACAAAGATATTATGTACTTTCTTATTTGTGAAGATATTTTAATCATGTTATCTATATATCACCTATCATCTATCTATCTATCTATCTATCTATCTATCTATCTATCTATCTATCTATCTACCTATCTATCTACCTGCCTACTGATCTTTTGTCTATTGTTACCATTTATGTAAGAGATATGAATTTTATAGAATTATGAGAACAAAAAAAGGTTCCATTTCCAATACAACAAAACAACTTGCACAAATTTTATACTGTTTCTCTGAATGACAAACAGGCACATTTTTATTGATTCATACATTCATTTTTGATAAATCCCAGCTTTATTCCAGGTATTAGTTGTAGAGATATGACAGAACAGGAGAGAGAAGTATTCTATTCCCATCAGTCTTATATTTTCAATGGGTTAGACTTATGAGATTCATAGAAATATAACATTCAAGAAAATGAGAGGGGAACTGGAAGAGTGTGACAGGGTCTTTGTATGTGAGTGTGTAGGGGTATTTGTTTACATTGTACAGATTTATGTATGAAGAATCACTACCAATGAGGTCATTTTTGAGCAGGAAATACTATTAATATCTTAAACCAAAGAAACTTTTCAAATTTCCCTTCCAGAATTTTTCCAAATTCTCCCTTATTGGGAGAAGGCACAGAATGAATTATGTTAATGGTCAACATCTCTAGCTATCAAACTCAGGTGCTGACTTCTCAGCACTTGGTGTTAGACTGTCACGCTGGAGCCTGATTCTACTGTGTCATCCTTTCTCCTGCATTATCTTGAGTCGCTGGAAGCCCATCTGCTTTTGGCTCTGACTGAAGTGCCTGCGAGTTGATGATTATAGATGCTGTGAAGAGCATGGTTGGGAAAAGATCCACTTCATTTGCAGCACAGTTTAATTATAAAAGAACTTTTAAAACTAATGTTTCTTTAATTTCTTTCTCAGATTTGGTCCTTCCCTTTTGCTTAGCAGATGTGTTTTCATTATGTACCCATTTGGTAATTTTGAAACAACTTTACAACAGAGCCTATTTTCTAAACAAATCTGCACATTTATGCAAACTACGAACTTGACTTTCAGCTTCATAGCTGCAACAGTCAGAGGATACTTTTGTCAGAAATTACCACTCTGAGATTGAAGATTAAATCATTTCAGTGATGACATCCATTTTTCAGGGCAATATAACAAACACTATTACCTGTTTTAATAACCAGAAATAAAATGATCTCATATTTATTCATAATATCTGTGGTTTCTAAGGACTAGAAATTGACTTTTTCAGTTCAATAGTATGCTAATTTTCCCAGTGTAATCTAAAATCAATCAAAGACAGTTTTCACGTAAACACAGTTGAGTGTCTGTCATTGTCAGAAATATATAGAATTCTTTTTAAGCATATTGAATCAAAGTGCACATAGTGGTTGCATGGTACTCTGCTTTAGAATGAAGACTTGTGTTTGTCCTGAACACATTATTTGAAGTTCTAAATGCCACCAGATGGTTTTGAAGATGAAACTTTTGGAAGATACTTATTCTCTCTACTCATGTAGAAAGACGTTGTTCGTGTGAGCATGCAGTGAGATGCCGGATTCCAGAGAAGAAGAACAACATCTATTTTGATAGCACTGTAAAGTCAATTTCTGTTGTTTAGCTTAGTCAGGGCTGTTTTTATGTGGCAGCCTGAATAGACCAAGACACGCCACCGGATCTGTCAATACATAAGTGTTTCGTTGCAAATGCAGCAATAAGACACAGATACTGAATAGTTTTCTATGATAGTCATTTCAATAAGTAAGCAATCACACGATTATCCATGTGGTAAGGTAGATGCAAAACTGGCATTCAAGCCATTTAAGCCAGAGCAAGTAGTTAAGGACACTAATAATGCTGTCAGTTCTCTTTGCTGAATCTTAAGGTTCATAAACATATGCAAATTCATAGTCTACCTCAAAGTTTGTCTAGGTTTCTTTCAATACTGTTTGAATTATTAGGCAATGTTTTAAGTGAAATCAATAAAGCTGACATCTCACTATTCCAGTGATATTTATCATATGAATTGAATTCTTATTTTAAAGGGAGTATATGGATGTTTAAAATAATTTGTTGGACCACCGTATGATTACCCAAGATACAACCTAAGAACCAATATAGGATTATTGCTGTAAAATACATATATACATTTTTTTCTATAAAATTCTAAATATGATGATATAGAAAGTTGGATTCAAAAAGTTGTAAAAAACAGCATGAGTTAGATTCAATGACTAAAATAGCATAACTTTCCCCAAAGATTTAAGGAGACGCTAAAAAAAAAAAACCTCATGCATACAAATTCATCATGTCTTTTAATAACTTAAAAGAGAGCAGAAGGTAAGGTCACGCTGCATATGTTATTGCCAGCCAGAGATTAAAGCTATAGGAAGGAGGGAAGAGTTACCTAGTTCCTGAATTATAGTTAAAATAAGCAGGTGTATGACTTTTCCAAACCATTTTTCCATCCTCATTCATATAGTTCCCAGTAATGTGATAACTTGCCTTTAAATTTGTCCTGGATAGTAATTGATGGATAATTACTAGACTTCTCTGATTTTTTAAAAATGGTTACCAGTTGAAGATAGTAAACATTAACTTAGCTTTGACCATGCTTTCTTTTTAAGGTGATAACATTAAAATTTGCATCTATCTGAGCTAAAACATATCATGTAATTAACATATGATATATTGGGGGGGGGTCTCAAAATAAAGCATAAAGCATGACCACATAAATCCCTAAATGTAATTCTGAAAAATATACACCACTAAGAAAGCAGACCGGACATTATCCAAAGTATATTTGTCAACTAATTCATGGATAATCAATCTATGTTCAGTGAATAATAATGTCACCGAATCAAATTCTGCCCTACAGGTATACTGTAACTAACATTAATTACAAGCAGGCACTTAACACCCTATATAATAACACCTTTAGCTTCTCTGTTCTTTCATGAACTCTAATTATCAATTTGTGTAAGTTATCTCTCACAGCAGACTCCATAGTCTGGAGGCAGAATTCTGTTCCTCTAGTTATATTGGCAACCAGAAATCATTCCAATTAAAATGCTGGGATTGGCAAGGGTAAAGTTTGCCTCATAAATACCTTTGCCAAGTTTTGCACGTTGAATAGCTTTAATTTAACTAAGCATGACTCATTTCTAATATTCATGGCTGGAATTAAGAAGTCACTTCATTAGCCTGTAAGATAATTTCCAGCCTCTAAGTACACTAATTAGTAAACATCTAGTTCTTGACGAAAAGTGAGTTAAAGAACATTCTGTGCTGTCTCTAGTGTGGCCTCAGGAAAGGCCCAAACCCACTCGCATCAGGAGAGTGGTCTAAACCATGAGTGGGCATGCTCCTATAATCCCAGCACTCAGCAGACTAAGGCAGGAGGATACCCAGGTTGTCTCTGGCAATGTGTAGCAGTGTCTCTGGAGATGTATAGCAAGACCTTTTCTCAACAACCAACTAATCAACAGCCGAAAAACAAATGGACTGGCTTTATAATATCATACTACACAAAAACATCTGAAAAACCCAGTTCATCAGTTTCTACATCACCTTGTCTGTTAACCATGGAAACTGAAATCGACCGTAATACAAGACAGAG